AAAAGTCCAATCAGCATTGGCACGTGTAAGTTATCCCCAGTAGAGTCCAATCATACTGGGCATATCTGGTTATCCCCAGCAGAGTTGGCTTCGCCTTTCCAACAATTATTTTGCTGTAATGTTCTGTTGTATCCAGCTTTCCCCGGTAGCCTGAGCCTGCATTTGCATTTTTTCATATAATCATCATATTTGCATCATATTTTCATTTCATCCTCAAATGCGTAGCATTTCCATTTCGTATGGAGCATTGCGCCATAGAAACATTCTAGCATATGCGTACGAGACATAAGCCAGTTTTCTATCAGCCTTCCGTGGAAACGTGAATCATCTCTGCAATGAATACAAGGGCATTTATTCAACAGTTGTGTTCAGATAACTCATCAGCTTACCTGGGTTCCAGATCGTGCGTCAGATTTTCTCTGTCCATCGACCCGTTGAGGATGACTTCTCCAAGCAAATTTTCTTTGTCCATCAGTCCTCTGATGACGACATCCCAGTAGATTCTTATTATCAATCTCTATTGACGATAAGTTTCCCCAGCAAGTGTTCTCTCCGTCTATTCTTGGACGATGCGAGAGGTGGATATGTCTCTCCAGCAGGTTTTCTCTCCGTCTATTCTTGGACGATGCGAGATTTCGATTTGGTGTTCTCTCCGTTTATTCTTAGACGACGTGATTTTTGAAGATGATCTTCTGTGCGCCTAGTATTTGGATATGAGATCTGGATATGGTTTTCTCTCCATCTATTCTTAGACGATGCGAGGTTCGGACAAGGTTTTCTTTCCGGTTATTAGATGAGATGACATTTCAGGAGGGTTTTCTTCGTACCGTCGATTCATATTGACGTCGTGGCTCTTTTGAGAAATGTTTGGTTCGTGTTGTCAATCACTATTGACGATATGACTCTTTGAAGATGGTTTTCTTTCTTTCAATCACTATTGACGATGTGGCCCTTTGAAGATATTTTCTTTCCATCAATTCCAATTAACGAAAGGATTCTGAAGTTTGTTGAATGAGTTTGAAGTTCATTGACATGATATATGGTATTGGAGTCTTTTCGTCTTTCTTTCGATGATGTGAGTATTGGAGTCTTTCCGTCTTTCTTTAGATGATGTGAGTAGTGGAGTCTTTCCGTCTTTCTTTCGATGATGTGAGTATTGGAGTCTTTCCGTCTTTCTTTAAACGATGTGAGCAGTGAAGTCTTTCCGTCTTTCTTTAGACGATGTGAGTAGTGGAGTCTTTCCGTCTTTCTCTAGACAACGTGAGTATTGGATGTATACCCTCAGATGACGTGAGCGTGGTGGCTTTCTTTCGGTCTAGCCTTAGACTATGTGAACTTTGGTGTCTTTCCGTCTATCTTTAGACGATGTGAGTATGGATTTCTTTCTGTCTATCCTTAGACAAAGTGACCGTTGGTGTCTTCCCGTCTATCATTAGACGAAGTAAGTACTTGTTTGCTTGTTGTCTATCCTTAGATAATGTGAAAGGATCAAGTGCATATTGATCCGACTTGTGGGTTCAGTGGCTGTGGCGTTACACAGGTGATTGGCGGTGAAGTCAAATGTTCTCTATCATATGATCAGTCAGCTTGATGCCGTTGCAACTGTCTGTATTCGGTTTTCGGAGGCGTTTCCCAATCAGAGTTCCAATTTATTTCTGCAGTTGGCAAATTTCCAGGTTTCTTCGGTATTCAACCGTCTTCTACCTTGATTGTCTGAAAGTCGTTCGCTTCTCACCTAGTCAGGTCCAAGTCACTTGAATAGGGGCAGCTGTTGTACCCCAAAATTTGCCCAACCTATTTCTTTACCTGGCTTTTGTTTCTCTTGCATTTTTGCATTTTTTGCATATCATGGCATAGCATTGTTCATTTGGCAGGGGATCAAGGTTCTTGTGGCTCAGGTTTCATTCCCGTGCAAGCAACTGAGCAGCAAGCATCAAGAGACGACATTTATTTTGTCCAGCGGTCGAGCGACCGATTTTATTTTGCAGGTTATGCTCAGATCAGGAGACAACATTCAGTCTACATCTAGCATTATCACAGTCACAATATTCAAGAGCAAGTGTCAAAAGCTTAGCAGAGCTCAAAGCGGCGAGAAACAGGCAAACGGGCTGGTTTCCCTCCAAAATACGCTAAATTCAAAATTTTGAAGGTGTTAATCGGTTGACACATATGGTTAACCGATTAACCAAAGGAAAATCAACCCATATTTGAAATTTTAACAGTGTTAACCGGTTAACGTATATGGTTAACCGGTTAATCATAGCAGATTTTGCCTTTTACGTGATTTTGCAAGCCATTTGCACTTGGGGTCCAATCTTGATCACCTTGAAACTCATTTTTACCAAAAGAAGGATCTAGAATGTTCTTGAAAGTTGGTTATTTCAATTTTCCCTTCAAATTCCCATGCCTAGTTCCAAACCAACTTTCCAATCCAAAGTCCAAACCCCACCTTTGGGATCCAAACCTAGATGGTATTTAAGTGATCTACTCCAAACCAAAAGAATCCAATTCTCATTTCTCACATTCATTTTTCAGAATTGATCAGAATTCTCTCTCAAATTCTCTCAACTTCTCCATTTCCAAAACCCACACTCAAAGCTCTATTTCATTAGGATTTATTGATTTTTCATTGAAATTAATGGATTCTTGAGCATAAACCTCCATCTACCATCATCATTGGATCAATTCTCATCTTCAATTTTCGTGAAAGCTTGGATCTGAATCTGGAGTTGGATCTAGAAGTGATTATTTGAAGCTTTTTAACTCAAAATTGGGTGGATCTTCATTCATACAACAACAACTATTGTGGATCTTAAAGTTTTTCGGATTTCTAGCATTTGATCTACTCAATTTCAGTTGATCAACATTTACCGAAGCAAATCTCCGCTTCGAAGGTTGGAATTCTTGATCCGATTTAATTGTTTGAGCTTATCATGTTAATCTTCATATTCGATTGAATTTTGTTGATTTCGATCCGTTCGATTTGTGATATGGCTGTGTAATTGTGTATCCATGCTGTTGGATCTTTGTTTTCTATTGTTAATTTCGTGCTTAATTGATAAGTTGATCTGTTGGAACCTTGGATAAGTTGTTTCTGTTCTAGAAGTGATTCTGTTTGCTGTTTTTGGCTTATGGTACAGTGTTAACCGGTTAACGTATATGGTTAACCGGTTAACCAATTCAAATATTCAAATTTTTTCAAAGTTTTCAGGGTGATAACTGGTTAACGCCTGGTGTTAACCGATTAACACCTACGAATTTCCAGATTTTCACTTGTTTTACATAGGTTAACCGATTAACAGTAAGTGTTAACCGATTAACACTATGCCAGAATGCCATATTTGCTGTTTTGTTTGCATGCTCGCATACCGGTTCGATTCGAATCATCATAGATCAGTGTGATGCATTAGAATTGAATTGTTTTGGCTGTTTGTCACTGTTTGTGGTTGATTAATCACGATGTTGTTGATATGTATGATCATATTTCAATTGCTTGCATGCTTGTGTATGAGGTTCGAATTGATCTTTCGTTTGCATGTTTAGTTGCTTTCATTTCTCGCTTTTCTCCACATGTTTGCATCATTTTTGCATCGCTGTTGAGGTCGAGATGCGCTTGTGGTGGCTGCTACCCCACACATTTTTCCTCCCTCCCACCATTCTAATTATGCATTTTCATGTTTGCATTTCTCTACTTGTGATTGATTCTTCCTTTGTTCTTCTTGTGCTTTCTTGCCATGATCCCCATAGGATTCCTAGTCCCTCCGTTTAGGATGGGAGTAGGAGAGACATTAGGCGCTCAATCCAAGTATGCTAACATTAGGGTAGATGTTTCCCTTTTAATCCAAACTCTAGGACCACTTTGCATGACAACGTTAGGGCCGAGTTTCCCTTAGACCTTCTGTGTGTCTTCTCTTCTTCATACAATCGTAACACACTTAATAAAGATAATGGATATTGTGCCATGAGCCTTATATTGGGGAAATGGTGATTGAGAGGCTACCTTGCAATTGCCTAGAGTGTTTAGTATACGTTCTTAGGACGATATGTGACGCATTCGATCCTAGGTCTTAGACTTTAATACAACATACATTATAAACACTCAAATTCAAAACACTTCTTCTCTAAAAAACACAAAACAAATTCAAACCTTTTTATTTCGGGATTAATCAAACTCCTTTTTTTTTCATAAAAGAGTGTCATTAAGCTTCGGTTCTACCGCAAACAGGCTTTGTCCCTAACTGCTGGAACTGATGTTTAACCCTACTAGGATAAAACATTTAATCAACTCGTGGTTTCGTGTCCGCCCGAACTACGTTCGCTCTGATATTTCATACCAGATGAAAGTACGTAGGCACAAGATGCGATATCTTGGCGAGCAACCTTCCCCCCTTCTCTCCCGTAGTTAGCCGAACTACGCTGACTCTGACTTTCCCATTGCACGAGGGAGTACGTAGGCACAAATCAGCGATGCTCTGCCGAGTCACTTCTCCTTTCTTTTTCTTTCGTCCCCGAGACCTTTAGCGTAGATAGATTAATCACCCTTTTAGATAACAAACAAGCGTGGATCCCGTCGAGTACGACGGACGTGAGGGGTGCTAATACTTTCCCCTTGCGTAACCGACTTCCGAACCCGGGACTTGGTTGCGATGACCTTGTCTTTCCCTTTTCGTCAGGTTTTGTCCGATCATTTCCTTTCCCTCTCTTTGGGATAAATAACAAAAGGTGGCGAGTCTTCTGTTTTCCTCCGAGTGTTTTTCGCAGTTGGACACCATGTAAGTCCATTTTACAATAATTTACGTGGTTCAGTGTCTCGAGATGCATTGAGACGCATCGTTGAAGAGTTAAAACAAGTTGATTATGTTGGAACTAACAAGGAAATATGTCGTTGTACTCTTCGAACAACCTACGAATTACCTTGTGCTTGTGAGTTGACAGGATATAGAATTGATGGTATACCGATACCAATAGATGTTGTACGTGTTCATTGGAGAAAACTAAGTATGGAAGTTAAGTTGGATGAAGACGTAGATGATGGATCGGAGGTGGATATGAGTAGTGCAGTAGATGAGTTATGGAAAAGGTTTAAGTCACTGGATGTTGTTGGGAAAAGGGCATTAAAAAGTAGGGTTTTTGAACTTGCCTTCCCTACAATGACTTCTATGAGTCCACCACCTGAGAAAATAAAAACTAAAGGGGGAGTCAAGAAGAAAGAAAAAAAACCAGTAGGATATGATATTTATAGAGACCCTTCGTATCACGAGTATGTTGATCAAGCATCTCAATCTTCACAGATGCAATCTCAACCATCACAAACTTCGAAGAAATTGAAATTATCACTGTCTTCACAAAAGAAATCTCAACCATCACAGGCTTCGAAGAAGTTGAAATTATCACAATTTTCACAGTCATCTAAGCAGTTCATCCTTCAATTTCCTAATCACATCAGGTCATATATTGATGATGTAGTTAACGTTGTATCAGATGGTAATTGTGGATTTCGAGTCATTGCTTCATTGCATGGATATGGTGAAGATGGTTGGCCAGTGGTTCGTCGAGACTTGGGGTTGGAAATAATACATAATGAAAGATCAAGTTTGTATGCCAATTTATTTACTGATCAGTTAGCAGTAGTGAGAGAATCTTTGATGATAGAGGAATTTGGTCCTCAACCACCACATAAATGGTTAACTCTACCAGATATGGGTTACGTGATATCAAATCGTTATAATGTTGTACTTGTCTGTTTAGGAATTGAATGCTGGACTTTCTTCCTTATGGCAACTTCATTTTCACCGAATGTAGCAATTTACTGCATTGGTTTTGTAAACAAAAATCATTGGGTTCAGGTACTTAGTTGTTTTTAGATAATGCGATTAAACCTAATTCTTTTTCGTTATTTTTACTTAATATTGTGATTATTTTTTTATTTAGGTAAACATGAAAGAAGGGTTTCCATTGCCACCAGTGACAGTAGATTGGAAGAAGTTTCGTTCTCCAGCAGCAACATCTTGGATGATAGGATTTGCAGGACGTCTACAACATTGGCAACAACTTACGCCTATATTACCAACGCATTATGAATTATAAATTATGTTACTCATTTTTAATTTCAAAACAAGAATCGTGAATTATGTTACTCATTTTTAATTTCAAAACATGAATCGTGAATTATGTTACTCATTTTTAATTTCAAAACATGAATCGTGAATTATGTTACTCATTTTTAATTTCAAAACATGAATCGTGAATTATGTTACTCATTTTTAATTTCAAAACATGAATCGTGAATTATGTTACTCATTTTTAATTTCAAAACATGAGTCGTGAATTATGTTATTCATTTTTTATTTCAGGCTACAAGTTAACACATAAACATAAACCAATTAGGTCAAATGATTCTAAAAGTTAACACATGAACATAAACCAATTAGGTCAAATGAGTCTAAAAGTTAACATATAACCATAAATATAAATATAAGTCATTGTGATCGACCAAGATGTAAAGCTTCGAACAAATCAGCAAACTGTGGGTCATCCTCTTTAGCACCAGCCTATTGAAGATAACGATGAATCAATGCAGACATATGAGCCAATATAGGATCAGATGGTCCTGCTTCATATACAGGAACTGGCATCTCTGTTGTCGCATCAACACTGGGCGGTACCAGACGAGGATGAGAAACATGATAATACCACTCAAGATACCCATCATCTGTCTCATATGGGGTGGTGGTCGGTGCTGTCGGACGAATCACATCCTGAACGCTCTGACGGTAACTAATCCAGTCAACATCAATATCACCAGCCATTTGAGAATCAAGAGGTGGATGTGGAACATACTGCCTGTATCCAAACTGACGCATACATCTGTTAGGCAAGTATGAAACAATAGTGTCACCCCACCTCAGACACCCCCTATAGAGACATAACTCATCAAACTGACGCCATACTCTATGTTCTCGAATGGGTGCCATATGACATCGACATGTGTCAGCTCGTCCAGAATAGGCCGCAAGTCATCCACCTTCAAGGCACCTTGCCTATAGGACCATCTCATCGCTCGAGGGAGACCCACATTATTAGCTGGTATCCGGTTCTCTCCTCTTTTCCCAAGTGTTGGAAAAAAACTCATGAATCCAGCACTGTTACAAAATTAATATGGTTACTAAATTTAAAACAATTAATTATACCATAATAAACTAGATAAATAAAATTAATATACTAGATAAAAATAATTAAAAGAAAATATACTAAATTAAAATAAATACATGTAGGAGAGTCGGATAACCACCAAGCTGCTTACAACTGAACATGGAAGCATCTCCAAGATATCTATAAAGAGTAACCAACGCAGCTGCTCCCCAACTGTATCTTGGTAAGCCATCCAAGTCTATAAATAGTGAGAGGTATCGTACCTCGACAAGCGTAAACGTCTTGTCCGCAAAAATAGTGGAACCCACTAACATTAGAAAATAAGCTCTAGTGGCATAATCCCATCGAGATGCAACTCTGTGCTTTACGAATAGATCATATAACCACTCCAACTTATAGTAGGAACCCCTGCACTCACGGACTTGTTGTTGTGCTACTCTCCGTGTCACTCCTAAATAATCAACAACCCACTCAACAACAAGCTCTTCACCGATATCTTGAGGGCTCCAGAAAACTCCCCTGATGGGCAAGTGACGCAGGCAAGATACGTCATGTAGAGTAATCGTTATCTCACCAAACGACATGTGAAATGAAGATGTCTTTAGATGCCATCTCTCTGCAAAGGCGGAAACTAGGTTTGTGCCTATCTTTGTTAAACTAGTTCTCTGGAGTGAAGCTAGACCAGACCTAGATATCCAGCCCTCCATCTCTCTGGGTAGCTGTAGTGGAACCCTCTGAATCAACTTCAGGCCATGTCCCGCTACCTTTAACTCTTTCTTCGACCCTCTCTCCTGAAAACAATTAAAAGTAAATATATTATAAAATTAAATATTAAAAATTCGAATTCTATTCAATATTAAATAATTTTCGTTTACTTACCTCACCGAACCATATATGTCTAGCAACATGATGTTCGTACTTAATTAACAACGATGTATCATACGGTCCTCCTGGATATCCAACAGGCTCGGATGCTGATGCAGATGCATCAAAATGCTCTTCTTCAGCCATTCTCGATGACTCGCCCCGTCCTAGCTAGTCCACGAGGGTTCCTACCATCTCTGCCTCGTGTGCGCACTACTGACAAAAAAAATTAAAAATTAAAAATAAATAAATAAAATTAAAAATTAAAAAAAACATGAACCGAAAGTCTTGAGGAAAGACTTCCGATGAACAAACGTAAAATATTATGAACCGGAAGACATGCATTAAGTCTTCCGGTGAAGAAACCAAAACAAACTACAAACCGGAAGACATGCATTAAGTCTTCCGGTGAAGAAACCAAAACAAACTATAAACCAGAAGACTTACTCTTGGAGTTTCGGTATGTGTTGGTTAACAAATGTGTTCTGGATGACTTGTTGGAAGAGTTCAGGTTTGCAAGTGAAAAACGAGTCCTCCGGAAGAGTTGAAACGCAAATGAAGTAAAAGTGAAATTTTTTTCAAATTATAACTATTTAAACAAGGGTATTTTGGTCCAATATTTTTTAGTGTAGAGGTGTGGGTATAATTGTAGGGGTATGAGATAAAATTTCCTAAGTGCTGCAACATTGGGCCTCAATTTTTGAGAACCCAATTTTATTTTTTTAATTTAAAAACAATACATTTTACATCTATTATTTTAAAAACAGGTGTAAAATCATATTTTGTTTTAAAACTTTTATAATTTTATCAGTTTTTTTAAAAAGAATCATAATTTTAAAAATGTGTATTTTTTTTTATAATTTAGATCTATTTTAAAAATTAGAGATGGGCCTCCTGACTAATTGGGTCGGCTCTGAACAAAAATATATTATAAATGACTTCTATTCTCTAATTAATAGTTTTGCCGAAGTGAAAAAGAAGGCAAATCCCGTTGGTTAACAATTTGGATATTATTTCGAATGTTCAACCGACGGAATAACTAAGAGGAAAAATAGTGTGCTATCATTTTTTGCCTTAATCAAATTTTAAAAAAAAGAAAGAAATAGTGCATTTTTTATTACACCCTAAGTTTTCTCGTCTATTTGATTGAGGTAAATTTTAAATTTGAATCGAGACAATGCCTATCTTGTAATAGTCATTGTAAAAGAGAGTTGTCAAAAAAAAAGTAACTTTAAAAGTTTTTGCACAAAAAATAAGAAAAAATTATATTTTTATAAAACCTATAATAGATTATGTTTATACAGGTTTCAAAAACATTAATTTTTAAGAATTTATACACAAAAATAAACCAAAATCATATAAAAAAAACACAACTTTATATTCAAAACCTGTTTTGATTTGACCCTCATTGTAAATTATAATATTCCTACAATACTACATTTATTTATTCTTCATGTGATGGGGCTGTTACATCTAAGTTGGAACAAATCATGATATAAAAAAATGAATCACTCAGTATGGCCTCTCGCCAATATAGTTGCCAGGAGGATCATAATTACAAGTAATGAAAGTTCCTCCATTTTCACATTTCACTTTGGCACATCCAATTCTCACTGTGTTTTTCCAAACAACTTGTGTATAATGGCCACACATCTGACCATCAGCACATGAATTACTATTATAATCATAGTAGGGTTTCTCACCAACCCACATCGTCACAGCATCTCTGCCAAACATCTCACCGCCGCTCATTGCGATATTTTCTCCATACCGGTCGGTACCGGAGTGGACCAACTGACAATCCTTGCGTTGATTAGCATAGTTATTTGCAAAAGCAGCAACCTTATTGTCCCAAACAAGATTCGGAATTTTCACTTTGGTAATCGCCGATCTTGCTGCGTTGTGTCCTTCTAGATAGTCTGCTGGAGAATCTTGTGCTTGTACAACGTAACTACCTGTAATGACTATTAAGCTTAATACACATAATACAGAAAATGAACTCATTTTGCGTAACAGTTTCAAAATGTTAAATGGAAGTGAATGTATTTGGTGAAAATTGTTGAGCTCTTTTGATGTATTTATGTAGATATTTTAACATGGAAATTTGGTAATTCAAAAGATATCTTTCATTACCAAAACAAAGTTGCGACAATAGCTAAATAATCCTATGTATTTAGAAGCTTCTTTTTAATAAACTTGATTCTACTTTATGATAAATTAATTGATTTAATGTTTAAGTTAGATATATAATTTGATCATTTTTTACTACAATTATCTTTATTTGTTGGACTTTTTTTTTTATATGAAAAAATATAAATACAATCCTAGAATATGAGATAACGATTTTAACTTTTCGTTTTGATTAATAAATTTTGATATCACTTTTATTCTTTATAGACTCTTGAAGGAAAAGGAAATGCTTGTTATTAGAAAACAAATAAAATAATACGGTCTCCTGATTTGTTACTATAAAAGTTAAAATAAATTATATAAATAAATTATTTATTTAATAGAAATCTTGAAAAATAATCATTAAAGAGGACTGGAGATCTATATTTTAATAGTAGTAAATTTGGATTTTTGACAGAATTCAATGTCAATAGACAAACATCAATATTTTAACAAAAATAGATATATGCTTGAATGAACCCCAAGGATTGGTGTAGGTTTAAATCCTGAGAGTGTGCTCTTTTTAAAATTTTGAGTTCGAATCTTATTATGTGCTAACAATTCTTGTGTTGGATCCTCAATTTGTCCATGAATCTTCGACAAAAAAAATAATGCTTTAACAAACTACAAAATTTTTTACTTTAGACAACAAACAAAAGGTCGGCGACCTGGTCCTACGACAGCAAAGTCCTAAAGTGCGAGTTTCAGGTCGGCGACCTGGTCCTACGAAAAAACCAAAATGACTCACACGAGGGCAAACTCGACGTGAATTGGGAAGACTCATATTGTGTCCGGGACATAACGGAGCACGGGACCTACTACCTCGAAAACCTACACGGGGATCAGATAGCTCGATCGTGGAACGCTGAAAAACTTAAAAAATACTACAGTTAAACATTGCCCGCGACGACAAGCGTCACAATCACAGGAGCGCGACACGGTACGATCGCGTCTACTCGAAATCAACGAAATAGCAAGTCTCTACATTTGTGTGCGCGGGCAAAAGCTCTGCTCGACGGAGGACCCCTCGGTCGAGAGTCTCCGCCGCAGTACCTTGCTCGGCAGAACACCCAGCTCGCGATGGGACGTTCACGCCGCGGGGATAAGCACCCCCTTTCCCGACCAGGTAACTACACCGGTCACCCGGAAAATTCCCTAAACTTCCGGACACAAATATCGTCGAGCTACTACTCCCAAACATACAAGACAACATAGTAAACATACATTTCAAATGTACAAAACATGCACAAATAAAACGGGCATACCACCATGCAAACATAAACGAGCGCACAGTTAAACAAAAATATTATATTATCAAAAGCGGGCACTAGCCCAGTAGTCAAATTACAAACACAAACGGGCATGCAGGCCCCACAAAAATACTTAGAAGAAAATAGCAAATGTTGGCACGCAGGCTCGGGAAACATTTATATGTCCTCTAAATCATCCATCTCGCGCTCGTCGGCATGAGCGGCATCATCGGTATCTCTCTGACCAGAGGCGACCACCCGTCCATCGATGATCTGGTGGAAGGGCCCGATCCCATCAGTGACCAGGCTGACCTCGGGGTTCACCACCCTGAGTTGGTCCACTGCGCCAGAGAACCTGACCTCGACCGCCTCTAGGCAGTCATGCTCCAGCACCCGAATCCTCCCCAGCAGTTCCGCGTGGGTGTTCAGAAGCCTATCCCCGTCCGTCTCGTCGTCAGCAGGTCGGAGTGAGTCCTCTAACTCCCCCACACGGGCCTTCAGAGTCTGCAACTCCTCCTCCGCAACTTTCAGCTTCCCTTCGACATCTTCCCCCCTCTTGGGGCACTAGCCCAGTAGTCAAATTACAAACACAAATGGGCATGCAGGCCCCACAAAAACACTTAGAAGAAAATAGCAAATGTTGGCACGCAGGCCCAGAAACTACAAGCACGCAGGCTCGGGAAACATTTATATGTCCTCTAAATCATCCACCTCGCGCTCGTCGGCATGAGCGGCATCATCGGTATCTCTCTGACCAGGGGCGACCACCGGTCCATCGATGATCTGGTGGAAGGGCCCGATCCCATCAGTGACCAGGATGACCTCAGGGTTCACCACCCTGAGTTGGTCCACTGCGCCAGAGAACCTGACCTCGACCGCATCTAGGCAGTCATGCTCCAGCACCCGAATCCTCCCCAGCAGTTCCGCGTGGGTGTTTAGAAGCCTATCCTCGTCCGTCTCGTCGTCAGCAGGTCGGAGTGAGTCCTCCAACTCCCCCACACGGGCCTTCAGAGTCTGCAACTCCTCCTCCGCAACTTTCAGCTTCCCTTCGACATCTTCCCCCCTCTTGCGCTACACGACAACTTCTTCCTGACTCCGCTCCAGCTCCCCGGGCAGCTTGTTCAGCCTCAAGTGCACAAAGGTGAGATCATCCTGCAGTTTGGCCAGCTCGGCAGAGGAGTAGCCCTCGTCGCTTAAGACTAAGGCTGTCGAGAAGACCCGCATCATAATAGGCAGATCCTTTGTCAGCACTTACCTCCGAGCAGCCCGGTCAGAACCAAGGATCACCTTCGCCTCCGTGACCTGCACAGCCGGCGATCTTGCGCCATGAAAGTACTCGGGCTTCTGATGGCACGACGACGCCCCCAGACTGTTGAAGCTTGGCCCGCTTGGCTGCCCCCTAAGACGTCGGCGACTGGCTGCTCTGGGGCGACGAGGAGCCCCGTCTGCCCTGATCCGCTACGGCTTGCTCCACCACCTAGGCAACACTACTCTTTCCAGCTTTAGCCGCGCCTCTCGAGGCCGCCAGCTTCCTCACCCTCTCCTCGATAGAAGACATGTTCCCTGCAAAATACAAAAGAAAGAAGTCAGCTAACAAACGGAAAAACCGCAAAGTCAAAAAGAAGAATTCGACCGCCACCTAGATAACAGAGGGTCTCCTCGTCAGACGAGCACTTGAGCAGAGCCTTTGTGCTGATCAACCTCTTTTAATTTGCTGGCAAACACACCCCTGGCTATCGCAGATATACATGCCGTCGGGCGTCACCAGGTTAGACGAGGGCAAGCTGGCCACAAAGGTTTCAGGTACACCCCATCCTCCTCCACACTTGGGTGAACAGGTTCCAGATCGACAACGCGTGACAGATCATCGATCCCTTTCTAGTAAGGTATGATCAGATATATTATAAGTAAAATAAAAGTAAACATTGCAATAATTTAGATTCGAAGTGTGGTCTTAAACCACATTTTCTTTTAGTTTGTTATCAAAATCGAAGGAATAGGAGATATACTTTTATTAGGAAATATATGTTACACGACGCAACAATTTTTTTTTCAATTTTAGAATGTCTCACCATTTGAAAAGAGTTCTCTTATTTATTTAAAAATGTTAGTAATGTGTAAAATCATATCACAACTGCCTTATTTTACCATGTCGTTTCTACCTCACAACATTATGACGTTGGAGAAAGATTTTCTTGCAGTGACTTTACAAGCTTTTTTTTTTTCTAAACAAATTATATAGAAGTACAAGAATTACTCAAACCCAATACAAAAGTCAGAAAGTCATTCTCATATTTTCATCAATCATAAAAGTTTCACATTGTCTACCCTATTGTACCTCGGTTAGTAAAATTACCTAGATAAATTAATGTTAGGAAATATAATATTTGTAGTAACATTTACGAAACATGTAATATATGTTTATAAAGGTTTTAAAAACATTAATTTTTAAGAATTTGTATACAAAGTTTCAATATATATATATATATATATATATATATATATATATATATATATATATATATATATATATATATATATATATATATATATATATATATATATATATATATATATATATATATATATATATATATATATATATATATATATATATATATATATATATATATATATATATATATATATATATATATATATATATATATATATATATACATAACTTTATATTTAAAAAGTATTTTGATTTGATCATCATAAATTTAATAATTCTGTAATAGTTTATATATTATTACCTCATTTCTTTTATTACAATTTATTTTAAAGTAATGTAACTCATTGTGTAAGAAAAGATATAAAACATATATATTAGTTATTCAATAAACTTCAAAAAGTAAGATGTTTCTTATATAAAATATTACCAAAAAATGTTATTTTCAGGGAAGTTTTTGAAAACATTAGAAATGGATTTTGAGCATTTTTTTCCTTAGATTTGAAACTGTGTGCTATTTTTGCATAAATTTTAGACGAATACAGTCTGTCTAAAAACTGTCATTGCAAATTATAAAATTCCTACACTACTGCATTTATTTATTCATATAGGGCTGTTACATCTAAATTTGAACAAATTATGAAAGAAAAGAAGGAATCACTCAGTATGGCCTCTCACCAACATAGTTGCCAGGAGGATCATAATTACAAGTAATAAAAGTTCCTCCATTTTCACATTTCACTTTGGCACATCCAATTCTCACTGTGTTTTTCCAAACAACTTGTGTATAATGGCCACACATCTCACCAGCAGCACATGAATTGCTATTATAATCATAGTAGGCTTTCTCATCAACCCACAACTTCACAGCTTCTGCGCCACTCATGTCACCGCTGCTCATTGCGATATTTTCTCCGTAACGGTCGGTACCGGAGTGGACCAACTGACAATCCTTGCGTTGATTAGCATAGTTATTTGCAAAAGCAGCAACATTATTGTCCCAAACAAGATCTGGAACTTTCACTTTGGTAATCGCCGATCTTGCTGCGTTGTGTCCTTCTAGATAGTCTGCTGGAGAATCTTGAGCTTGTACAACGTGAGTACCTACAATGAGAATTAAGCTTAAGACACATAATACAGAAAATGAACTCATTTTGCTTATCAATTTCAGAATGCTCGATGGAAGTGTATGTATTTCCTGAAAATTGTTGAGCTCTTTTGATGTATTTATGTAGATTTTTTAACATGGAAATTTGGTAATTCAAAAAATATCTTTCATTACCAAAACAAAGTTGCAACAATAGCTAAATAATCCTATGTATTTAGAAGCTTCTTTTTAATAAACTTGATTCTATTTTATGATAAATTAATTGATTTTAACTTTAGGTTAGATATATAATTTGATCATTTTTTACTACAATTATCTTTATTTTTTGGATTTTTTTTATATGGAAAAATATAAATAGAATCCTAGAATATGAGATAACGATTTTAACTTTTCGTGTTGATTAATAAATTATGATATCAACTTTTATTCTTTATAACCTTTTGAAGGAAAAGGAAATGCTTCCTAAAAAACAAATAAAAATAATAATGTCTCCTGATTTGTTACTATAAAAGTGAAAATAAAGTATATAAATAAAGTATTTATTTAATAGAAATCTTGAAAAATAATCATTAAAGAGGACTGGAGATCCATATTTTAATAGTAGTAAATTTGGATTTTTGACAGAATTCAATGTCAATAGACAAACATCAATATTTTAACAAAAATAGATATATGCTTGAATGAACCCCAAGGATTGGTGTAGGTTTAAATCTTGATAGACAAACATCAACATTTTAACAAAAATAGATATATGCTTGAATGAACCCCAAGGATTGGTGTAGGTTTAAATCTTGAGAGTGTGCTTTCCTCAAAATTCTGAGTTCGAATCTTACTATGTGCTAACAATTCTTGTGTTGGATCTTCAATTTGCCCAAGAATCTTGAAAAATAATCATTAAAGAGGACTGGAGATCCATATTTTAATAGTAGCAGATTTGAATTTTTGACAGAATTTCAATACCAATAGACAAACATGTATATTTTAACAAAAATAGATATATGCTTCAATTAAACCCCAAGGGTTGGTCTAGTTGTGTAGGTTTGAATTCTCTGAGTGTGTTCCTCTCAAAATTCGAAATTTAATTTCTATTAAGTATTAATAAATTTTTCGTTTTGTCAGTCCATACAACGCATTACATGTTATATTTGTCAACCAATAATTATTTTGATGTAATAGCGGACAATATTTAAACTGTCAATACAATTTCTTTTTTTTCCTGAAGATTTTGAAAAAACAAAATTACTAAGAGTTTGTAATTTTAACAAACCATAGCTACCAACAAGGTATCTTATACTGTCTTTAAATTTTCTCATTCTTTTAAATGTTATTTATTATCAGGGCAAAATGTTTTACAGTATCATATATCATGACTATTCATGTGAATGACTATTATAATAAATCAAATATATTTAAAAACTTAAAATTTGTGATTAATTAATAGTATTAAAAATCAATTTTTTAATATTAAAATTTATTAAATAAATATAGATTAATTGATTAACTAATAAAAATGAAAGGCATTAATTATATTATGCAATACATATAAGTTGCAGGTTTTTCTAACCTATGCAACATTGCACAGGATAAGGGGCAATTAATACACAACTTTAGTGGTAATTTATTAGTGATAATTTATTAGTGAATTATTTTTTTTTAAAACCCTGCATTGTCAGTCACAGAGTCTGCTAACATATTACAATATTATTAACACGGTTAAATCACACTACTTATTATAAGTAGATTAGCTAAAAAATTATACTAAAATATAAGTTGTTTTATAATACCGGTAAATCATTAATTTTTTTTTTATTACTATATTCTTAAATATTTATTATTCTCTCCTTTCAATTATGTAAATCTGTATTTTCAATATCATTAATAAATAACAATTTTGTAAAACCTTTTATAATTTCACTTTTTCATACTACAATTATTACATTTTTTAACATGTGTGAAAAGTCAAATACTAATTATAATAAAAAACAGAGGAGATATATACTAGTAATAAAATGGACAAAATGAATAAGTTTTAACATATATAATAATTGAATTGAATAATATTAGAGTTAGAGCATATTTGAGAACACTTACCAAAGCTGAAAAAAATTGATAGGGTAAGAGGCAATTATAATTTTGAAACTGTTCCGGACAGGCCTAATGGATAGGCATGCCCCAATCCACTTCTGCTCCCAGAACGGTATAATTGTCAAAGTCCAACCAATTTAGGGTAGCATTTACCTTTCGGCCTCTCCACTGGGAAAGGTTGGTCGATTTACCTCCAGGGTCAACTGCTTCTCCTCAGTAGTCCCTACCGATCACACACAATTCCCCATCCAGAAACAGTCACGACGCCTGTGCCCCTTACTGCGCCTCTGCTTGTGGCAACTGCTAGTTTTAGGCACCTCTGTCCGTCCCAACGACTAGTTTGTGGAAGTTACCTATTCTTTAGGGGACAATTATTTTGTCCCAAAAATAGGGACCAATGGTCAAGCACTGGGGGCACTATAAAAACTCTCTCATTTGAGAGGGTCAAGTATTCAATATTCATCCTAACACACACATACTCTGTAATTGCCCTCTTTTCTCCCGATTATAACTTTAGCATCGGAGTGCCTTGCAGGTACACCCCCTCCTCATCTCTCACACCCAGCATCACAGACGTTGTCTCTGGCCCATTGGTTCTGATCAGCCGGTAAGATCAACGGCGCCGTCTGTGGGAAGCTTTGTTATCCCCGTCTTTCTTCCATCCTAGATTCAAGACCAAAACAGTTCTTCCAAACTCCAATCATGGCCATCCGTGACAACATCCATGATACTCGCAACTCTGCCTTCCTTCCCATCAACAAGACTGATACTGACAGAGCAGCCCGTTTTCTTGGGAATGATGCCCACCATCAACGAGATGGAGCCACCACGTCTCCCTCCCTCATTCGTGCTGATCACGATAAGGTCCAGCCCATCCAGGACCACCAGCCAGTCCCAGTTCCTCCTAGTGTCGGCCCGGCCATGACGACCCTCCTCGAGGCTCTCAACAAGACCAACCTCCTAATCCTCCAATAGAACGCGAGGATTGGAGCCCTAGAAGATTCCAGTCGGCCAAGATCCCCTCCATAGAGAGAACACCAGATATCATGGAGTCCTCCTCTCCGGCATGAAAGAAACCGCCGAGCACCTCTAGAGCCAGAGTCCCAGGCAGTCAGAAAGCGCGACCACATCTCCCCCGGGGCCAGTACTCCTCGGGGACTAAGAGGACCAGAAGAGATCAATAGGAAGAGCCCTAACGTTCGCCTCCGCCCATATCCATGGGTTGGGCATGAACCTCATCTCCCCGTCAAGATCGCCATCCTACCTTTAGGCAAAGCACCCGTTCTCCGTCATAGTCCAGCAGAAACATCGACGATGAGCCTTGCGGCCTGTTATCCCAGGAAACTATGGCCACGCGCCTACCGAAAGGAATGGAGAAACCCCCATCTCTAGGCACGTATGACGCTACTACAAACCCTGACGAGCACATCGAAAATATCAATGCGTTGCTCGATTACCATGGCGTCTGAGGAGCCATCAAATGTAGATTATTCTCGACTACACTGAGGAAAGGAGAGATGACTTGGTACAAGAGGCTCCCCGACAAATCCATCACATCATGGAAGAAATTGGGGAGAATGTTCTCCAAGCACTTCACGGCCTCTCGCCGCCACCCAAAGACTGAAGCCTCCCTTAAGGCCATCATTCGAGGGAAGGATGAACTTCTTCGAGCCTATATCGTAAGGTTCAACGAGGAAGCTGTCCAGGTCTCCACGACCGACTCAAGCACGGGCTCCGTCCCCGCACATAATTTTCCAAAGTAGTAGGCATTGAAACTCTAGCAACGTTGGATGCCTTCCTTCTCAAAGTGCAAGCGTACATCCAGTCAAAGCTTCCAGCTCAGCCCAGGACTTGAGGTACCAGGAGAGTGCCAGGTCCTCCAAGCACGAAGAGCCCTCGACATCTCGTCGGGGAGATAGAAGACGCGAGGATCGCCCCCTGGAGCCCCGGGGCAACAAAAAGCCTTCTGGCCAGTTCCATGAATATACTCCTCTAACCGTCTCTCGAGAAAAGATCCTCTTCAAGTGTGCTAACTTAGAGTTCCAGCAAGCAGGAGTCTGGTTCCCTAAACATATACCACCCAAGCCAAATACATACAAGTCGAAGTATTACCGATTCCACAAGAGCCACGGTCATATGACCGACGATTGCATCCAACTGAAGGATGTCATTAAGATACTGATCAGGGACGGACACTTGAAACAGTTCGCCAAAAGGAAGGATGTTCCTCGACAAGACGCCTAGGAGTCCAAGAAGATCGAGGAAGAGGTGAGTTCCCTAAAGAAATCAGCCTTCAAGTCACTATGAGCATCTCGCAACGTGAAGACTTCTACATCCCTGAGGAAAAAATGTACAAAATTACAAGTTACATTTTGACACTGCTATATGTTGTATTAGACTCTTTGGAACATAACTGACTACTAAAACTTTGACTAGTTACTTCGATCCAGTCGAATGCTAGCTCTCAATCAAAACATCTGATTATAACTTCTAACACACTCCTAATTCATGTTCTTGAGACATCTCATCCCGATGCTTCTTTTCAACTCGTCGAACCTGACTTTCTTTAGGGGTTTGGTGAGTATGTCAGCTAGTCACACTTCTGTCTTACAATGGTCAAGTTTAAGCTTTCCTTTGTTGACGCAATCTCTAAAAAAATGATATCTCCACTATATATGCTTACTTCAACCATTACACGCCGGACGGTTCTCGAGGTTGATAGTTGACTTGTTATCGACAAACAATTTTATTTTCCTTGGTTCCATTATCTTGACCTCTTCGAGCAACATCTCTATCCATACTGCTTGACATGATGCATATGATGCATGCACTTACTCAGTTTCACACGATGACAAAGCCACAATGCTTTGCTTCCTTGAGCTCCATGAGATTAGAACACCTTCGATCATAAATGTGTATCATGCAATACTTTTTTTGGGTCTTGAATTCCACTGAAATCTGAATCAATTTAGCCATATACTTTTGCATTTGTGCTGGTCTTCATCTACCTCAACATTAACACACCATGATCAATCGTACCCGTTATGTATCTCAACACCCTTTCAACTGCAGTGAGATGACATTTTTGGGGTTTCTTCAGGAATATACTTAACAATCCAACACTTTGACAAATGTCTGGCCTAGTATTGCAAAGATACTTTAAGGATCCAATGATTTTTTTGTACAATGTCAGGCTTACAAACTCTTTAATTATCTCCTTCCTCAACTTTGCTTAAGTTTCTAATGGCGTAGAGGTTGCATTACAATTGCTCATGTTGAACCTCTTCAGGATATCTTGGGCATACTTCTTTTGATGCAGGAACACTCTTTCACACATGAGCAACTGTAATGACGAATTCCCTAGATATGGCATTTCGATCTAGAGGGAGGTGAATAGATGACATATTTAAAACCAAAACTTTTGGCAAAAATAATTTTCAAAATTTTTATGGCACAGTGGAAACAACCAAGATTGAATCGTCTAACCAAACCTATTATCAAAAAGCTCGGATATGCGTAACGTACCACCAATTGGATGATAACAAACACAAAATGCTCAACTATTAATTCATTAATCAATTAAATGATAAATTATGCGTAAAGCTTATTTCTAATGAACAAAAATAAATAAAAATACTCAAATGCAATTTATAAAACACTTTGTGTGCGATCGATAACGTTTGGAAATTCTATTTGTTTTGTTGATGTTAAAGTCTAATCATAATCAAAGTGATTATGATTATATCAACAATAGTACATTAAAAAGATAATTGAAAAACAATTTACAATCGAATTGGTCAAAATAATAATGAACTCGATAATTTGCAAGAACAACAATTAAAGAGATATGGAGAGAAAGAAAGAGAGACACAAAAATTTGTTTAGGCAGTTTCCCAATCAGCTTCGCTATGGGTACGTCTTCCCTTAATTCGAAATCGAATTAAGATACTTGCAATTAACATTTTCTTTGAAAAAATATTTATACAAGAGATGAAGAACTCCAACTCCAAACCCTTGACCAAATTTTGATCAAGTCACTAAAATGCTGCTACAATCCACCAGTTCTTGACTACTTGCTTCAATACCTCGTCGTCTTCAAGGTTTTCGCTAGGTTGGATTAATCCCTAACACACACTTGTTAAACCAAAGATTCACGAGCACGATTCACCGCCTCCCGCAACTTTCTTGCAAGGATCCACCTTGTCCCAAAGCCTTCACTCGGTCGAATCCGTCTTTGTGTGATCTTGTCCAAAACCTTCAAATCACAATGATCTTGAAGGAAAACCCCAACTTGTTTTCTTATTTGAAACACACAAAGATCCCAACCCAATATTCTCGATTACATCTACTACGCAAAAAATGACTTTCAATAACGCTTCTTATAACCTTTAATAGCACTTTTAAGCGCTATTAAAGCCCCCGCTATTATAGATTAATCACCTATATAGCCTTTTTAAGCGCTATTAAAAATCCTCAATTTTAATGGGATTTCTCAATAAGCGCTAATACAAAGCATGTATCTGCCCTGATTTCTTGCTTTTTTCTTATGAGATTTAATAGCATTTTTAAAATAAACGCTATTATAAGTCTAGGGTTTAATAGCACTTTATGTATATGTGCCATTGTAGACTCATTTCTTCAATAACATTTTTGTGAAAAGCCCTATTAAACTGTCTTTTTTTTTAAATAAGAATTTTTTGTGTGACTCAATAATAAAAAAAATACCTTGATTATTCTTTTTCAAATAAGATTATTCTTTTATAATTCCTAACTATTTGTCCTGGTCATAAAGAATATATTAATCAATCAATATGTCTAGTAAATTTAATATTGATGTAGACATCATAAACTAAATATTTAATATTCATCAATAAAGTTACCCGTTCCCCAAACTGAATTTTTTTTAAAATAACCATATATTGAAACTTAATTACCAGAATAACCAAGTATTCAAAAAAAATGTCCAAAATGACTAACAATTCAACATGGGGTCGCCATTTGAAATGGCGAATGAGGCTTAACCAGTTTTTTGAGAAAGTGAATTCGCTAGATGAAATGGCGAATGAGGCTTGTTAGGATTCCATGCGCCAACCTGATTGGCGAATCAGTGCAATGCTAGGGTTTTGCAATTCATTTTTGCTTCATTTATATTTTTATTAGTTTTTAATAAATTTTAATAATTGATTATTAATGTTTTATTCTATTTTTTAAATACTTTATTTTAAATACCTTATTTTTAATATTTACACACAGTTTATAATAATTAAAAATAAATACTTTATTTTTAATTAAGAAATATATGTTATTAAACTATGTTGTTTGTGTTTCATAATTAATTGAAATTTAAATAACATTAAGAAAAAATTAGGATATAGAATGTTAAAATAAAATATAGAAATGACAAATTATATTAATTTAGAATCTAATGAAAAGTACAATTACAATTGAACTAAAGAAAAAAAACTAATGACCGGCTCTATCCAAGTGACCACCGGTGCCACATTGTGGGGGACGCGCATTGCAACGAGGTCTACGACGAGGTTGCTGTGGTGTGTCCGGTCTCTGTGTGTTGAGTTGTGGAGGAGGGTATGGTTGGGACGGCCCCGACGTATCAGATAGAGTTTGCATCATTTGACCCCAATAGCCGGGAGGTCCACTGTCAACGGCGCTTCCGTAGTCAAGCTCGATGCCCATGTTTTCGAAGGATTGTCGGGGAGGTTGGGTGGAGTATGGACGGTATGATTGTCCGAATGTGTACATGGAGTTGGGTTGGTCTAGGTGTGTTGGTTGTTGCGGGGTGTAGTAGTCGAATAATGGATAATTTGGGGGGTCGTTGGAGGGGTAGTTGGAGGTGTAGTTGGAGGTGTAGTTGGAGGGGGTAGGGTCAAATGAGTTGTCTGGGCTATAGGTGGAGGGGGTAGGCTCAAAAGAGATATCAGGGTTGTAATGGTAAGGTGGTTGAGGCTGGGATTGGGTGGGTGGTGGCATGTAAGGTTGTCGTTGTTGATAGGGGGTATTTGTTGGCATGTATGAGTTTTTGTAAGGCTGGGTTTGGGCACTGAGCTGTTGCTCTGGGTTTGACGAAGAACTGCATTCCCTTGGGTCGGCCAAATAGGTTGGCTGGGATAGTAAAGGCTGAGATGTCGTGACAGACCTAAACCAAGTCATATATTGAAGACTTGGCCTAGCCCCGTGCACAATACGATCAGTTAAGACATATTGCCTTCTTCTTTTCCAGTGTATATGCAACTCCTTCGCAAACTCCTTCCAGTCACTAACACTCCACTGTGCATCTACCCGCTTTTGATGCCACTGCCCCAAGTCTACTGGAGCATCTGGAATATCCTGATGCATCCCAAATTGTAGTTTCACCCGGTCACTCTGGTGCATCTCCACCGTAGTGAACCTAATTATGGGTGTCTTTGATGTCCACACAGCGGCATCGTCGGGGCTGGGCTCGTGGTCGAGACCCTCGTACGACATCCAGACAAACTACAATAAAGTTGGAGAATTAAGTTAGACAGAGTTTGAGAGGTTTATGCATATACATTAAAAAAATTAATGGTAAATAACTTACATCATCTGGCCCAAGGTGGTCGATTAGGTTGCGGTATTGAATTATAGAGTGCCTTGGACATCTCTGATAATTCATCCCTGGAACAGACCACCTAAAAAAATAAACACATCTCAGAAATTATTAACTGAAGAAGAATATATAGTTGCTAAATAATCTTGAAAAGATACTTACTTGTTGGCGTATGGGAACGTAAAAGAATTCCTGTTTATTGGAGCAAGCATTGGCATCCTAGACCAACCCCACGCTTGCAGAAGATAAGCACCACCATAAAAAGTGCAGGAATTTTTTTTGAAGTTTTACAAAGTGCGCTATATCGATGGGCGAGGACAGCTGATCCCCAGCTATATTCGCACACTTTGTTAATATTCCGCAATAATGGTAAATACATAGTATGGACGATATTTCCAGTGCCATCTGGAAATAAAAAGTGCCCGAATAAAATCATAATATAGCACCGAGTTTTTTGTATTTTCTCAAACTCGGTGCTATCATCAGTTAAGACAATACAATTGTATTGTTCTCTAAGGTATTTTAACTTTATTCCCTGACCCCTCGGGCGGCCCTCGCTTTCCGCCTAAGGTCCGTCCGTACAAAGAGGGGCGCCCAATAAATATTCGCAAAGTTGGTCAGGGACACCAACTTTTTCGTTGACGGCCTTACCATCGATGTGTAGGACGAGTAACATGTAAACGTCCTGAAGAGTCACAGTACACTCACCAAAAGGTAGGTGAAATGTATGTGTCTCCGGTCTCCAGCGTTCTAACAACGCTAGAATAAATTTCATGTCGAGGGAATAAGATTTGATTTTGATCAAATCACCAAACCCACAATGAGTAAGGTAGTCCGTAATGAGCGGGTCGTGTGATATGTAATCATGCACACGACATCGAAACCTTGATACATCCTGCAGAATAATGAATGTTACGTTAGAGAAGAAGTAAAATTACTAACATTTTTTTAGACAAAATTGTAAACATAGACAAGAACAAAAGACTTACAAACTCAACGATGTTTTCAGCCGTCCCTCTATGCGAGTCACCCATGGTCAGTAGAGACCTTGTCGTTTGGGATGTTGAGATTTAGAGATAGAGAGTTGAGAGTTTGAGAGTTGACAGGTTGAGAGTTGAGAGTTTGAGAGTTAAGAGTATGAGAGTTTAAGTGTGAGTAGAATTTGATGGGTAAAGACCCTATATTTATATTCAACGAGTGGATATGTTGTAAATGCATGCTTCACAAGTGGCTTAAAGAATGTGTTGTGTAAATGCTTGTTGAACGTGTGTCGTCATGCATGTGTTGTGTAAATGCATGTTGGACTAATGTCATGATGCATGTGATGTAAATGCATGTTGGATGCAGAGTCTTTTTTATGCAGTGTCTCGTCTAATCAAGCATGGTGGATGCAGGATCACATGTGAAAAGGAGATTCCTTCATTGTCTCGTCTAATCATACAGGCCGCATATCATTGATTGTGAAGCATGGATGACAAGTGAAAGGTAAAGATTCCTGATGCGGTATCACATGTGAAAGCTGAACTTTGCATTGTCACGTCATATTATGGGTCATATTTTGTTTTTTGCATATTATGTTTTTTTCTTAATTAAAGAGTTATTGTTTTTTTTATGTATGATAGGTTCTGATGGTTGCAAACACATGCATGACTAGTGTCCTGATGCATGTCATTGATTCCTGATGCATGTCATTGATTCCTGATGCGTGTCATTGATCGTGAAGCATGCGTGACAAGTGAAAGGCAAAGATTCCTGATGCGGTATCACATGTGAAAGCAGAACTTTGCAGTGTCACGTCTTATCAAGTGTTCTGTTCATTGTCATGAGATTGACTGTGGCGCACGCGTGACAAGTGTCCTGCATGCATGGTCATTTGGCAATTGATTCATGTGAAAAAAATCTTTACTGATACATGTAAAAATTACAAAGTTCATTGTTGTTACATGTAAAACAATCTTTAAACCCTTTATCAAACACTCATCCCATTTTATAAAGCCTTTAAACTCTTTAAATAATCAAACACTCAGACGCTCAAACACTCAAACATTCAAACACTCAAACATTCAAACACTCAAACAGTCAAACAGTCAAACAGTCAAACACCACAATATGTGATTTCCGCTCATCTGAACGGCGAAGTTTTTGAATGTGAAGTGTCGGGATACAATTTCAGAAACACGGATGTTACAAAATTTTTAATTGAAACAAGGTCTAATTTTTTACACCTGAAGTCAAGAATCGAAAAAAACTGCAATGTGATCCAGTTGGGCAAATAATATACAAAAACCATGTATTTTTTGGCGGACCTGATTCATGCAAAATTTTCCCTTTAAAGGTGCGAGACGATGAAGACGTGCGTAACATGTTCCGCAGTCACGAGTATTCTGGGTTCTTAGATATCGTGTTATATGTTACGTTACAACAACAACAACAACTGTCTCAGCAACTTGATTCGTCTCAAGTTTTTTACGATGAGGAAGATGAACACCCTGAAGTCGATGTCGTTGACGAAGAAGAAGAAGCAAATGAAGTCACTGTTGACGAGATGGTGAACAATCCAGAGGATTAAGTTTAACCTGGCAATGTATATTGTCCACCTCAACACATGACTACTATCGCCTTAGGTGATGATGAACCCTCGAGGGATGTTTTCTACAATCCCAACTACACAACAGGGGTGCAACTAAAAGAGGGTGACGAGTTTGGTACGAAAGAATATTGTCTCCGGGCTATCAAACAGTTTCACATGGAGTTGTCAGCTGACTACAGAGTCGATCGGACAAATCCGACGCGGTATACGATCTATTGTCGTAACGAGGAGTGCCCGTTCCGATTAACAGCATCTTTCAGGAAGAGAAGCGATTCTTAGAAGATAGGGTCAATGGGTCCGTCCCACAGTTGTATAATCTCGAATCCGATACAAGACCATCACAAACTCAGCTCTAAATTGATTTGCGATGAGATTCTGTCAGTTGTTAGCGACAACCCGTCTTTGAAGATGAGTACCATAATTGCACATATGGTACAAAGGTACAATTACACTCCTTCGTACCGAAAAGCCTGGATTGCCAGGACTAAAGCGGTTGAAAGGGTGTTTGGAAATTGGGAGGAGTCGTACAAGGAACTTCCTAAATTCCTGGTGGACCTTAAACACTACTCGCCAGGAACTGTTGCGACATTGGAGACGATGCTTGCTTGTACACCAGACGGGACTTGTGTTGCTGGAAATGGAATTTTCCACAGAGTCTTTTGGGCGTTCGAACCATGCATCAAAGGGTTTGTATTTTGTAAACCTATAATTCAAATTGACGGAACATGGTTATACGGGAAATATAAGGGCACACTTCTCATGGCAGTGGCACAGGACGGGGACAATAACATTTTTCCAATAGCCTTCGCCATAGTAGAAGGGGAGACTGTTGGGGGTTAGAGTTTTTTCTTAAAAAACCTCCGCTCTTACGTGTCTCCACAACCCAACTTATGTTTGATCTCCGATCGACACCCATCCATCGAGAGTGCATACAACAACCATGATAACGGTTGGCAGAATCCTCCCTCGACTCACGTCTATTGCATAAGGCATATTGCCCAAAATTTCATGCGGGAAATCAAGGACAGGACGCTGCGAAAGAAGGTTGTGAACGCGGGATATGCACTAACTGAACCCACATTTAGATACTACCGGGACGAGATCAGACTGAACAACACGGACGCATTAAGATGGATTGACAACATTGATAGGGAGAAATGGACGCGGGCATACGACAATGGGGTGCGATGGGGCCACATGACAACTAACCTCGTCGAGTCAATGAATTCTATTTTCAAGGGAATCCGAAACCTCCCAATAACTGCCTTGGTAAAGGCAACCTATTTTAGGCTAGGATCACTCTTTGATAGCAGACGTACGAAATGGGGTTCGGTATTACAATCGGGCCAGCTGTATAGCGATACTTCAATGAAATTCATGAAAGAGGAAGCTGCCAAAGCCAACACACACGTGGTCATAATCTTTGACCGTACAACTGGTTGGTTCAGTGTTGCCGCGTCTATGGATCACAACGAAGGAAGGCCTAGGGGATGTTACCGTGTTGAATTGGATAAGAGCTGGTGTGATTGTGGAAAGTTTCAAGCATTTTGTATGTCGTGCTCTCATGTCATAGCTGCATTTTCCAAGTTGTGTCAGGACCCAACCAATCTTCTTTCTGCAGTTCACCAAGTCATTAGTCTATGCAATGTCTACACATGCAGCTTTCAAGTCGTGGCAAAGGAGGACTATTGGCCTGAATACGAAGGCGAAATTGTTTGGCATAATGACTTGATGCGCAGACAAAAGAAGGGCCGGCCTAACAGCACGCGCATTCGAACTGAGATGGATACCGCAGACAAGCTGGTGAGATTGTGGAGTTCGTGTCGGCAACCAGGACACAATCGAACAAAATGTCCTAACGTAGGATCAAGCAGCAGATCATAGTTTCATATTTAATCTTGTCCCGTTAAATCAATATCAAATTCCATTCGATTAATAGCAACTTTTATAAGATTAATAGCAAATTTCATTTGAATAATACCAGGTTTCAATCAATTAAAACCATAGTTAACTGACACAACAACAACATGACAACAGAACACTGCGCGAAGCCAACATAAATTAAACAAACATAACAACAACGTAAAGACCTAAAACAGAACACTGCACCAAAGCGTCTACGATATCACGACCATCAACTTTATCTTCTTGGGTGTCAACATCATCACAAGGACACCAACATCATTTTCCAGTTTTCTCCATTCACGAGTAACTCCGTTTCTCCCGGTCTCCTCTACCAACCTCTCGATTTTCCTAATCTTTTCTCCTGGACCAATGTCTCCTTCTAGCCAGCGGTTCAGTTCCCTGTGCAAGTGCTCCAACGTCTGCGTATTCCAGAGGAGCACCTTCATCGGAGGCTTTGTTGGTGAAAACACAACTAGGGCATTTCTTTTCATTAGATAGAACATTGGAAAAGGTTCCTCCGATGCTGATGACGACGGCGAAGAACGTTGATTTAGAAATGCAAACATTCTAGACTCCACTCAACTCGAACTGCACTAACACTTTAGTCTTTTGGGATATAATATTGTGAAAACATACATGTGTTTGCGGTCGTATTTATAGTAAAAAAAACAGTACGTACCCTATATGATATGACTTAAATAACCTTAAAACATTTATACACTCAAAATTTGCTCAACACTATATTTTTATTTTGTATTTAAACCAGTTTAAGTTTTTTGTTTATTAAACATAAATTTATTAAATTAATTAGAAATTATTTTTATTTAAACCTAATTATTGTAAGTTTTTTAATTAAAAAATAAACTTTAACATTAAACCACATTATTTTAAATTTATTAATTCAAAAATTTATTTAAACATTTAAATCTAATTTTTTTAAGTTTATTAATAATATTTATGTTTAAAAAAATAATAATAATTAAAAATATAAAAAAAATTCGTTTTTATTTATTTAAAACATTAAATGAATATAAAAAATAATCAAAATATAAGATCAAGAATGATGAATTTAGAAACCCTAGCATTGCAATCATTCGCCATTTCATCTGACGAATTCACTTTCTCAAAAAACCAGTTAAGCCTCATTCGCCATTTCAAATGGCGACCCCATATTGGACAATTTTTTGAATACTTGATTATTCATATAATTAAGTTTCAACATACGGTTATTTTAAAAAAATAAATTCCCCCAAACTAAAGAAGAAAGCCAATAATAGCATACTAGTTCGTTCAACAAACTAAAAACTAATGTTACCTATTCCCCATTTGGATATGCCTCAATCAAATCAATATCCATAGTTTCAACTTCACTGCTTCTAATTGTTCTTTGATTCAGCATCTCCATTAAAAACCTCTAATTTTTACAGCATCTCCATTTTCATAAATATGAATATATGAATTTTCTCCAGGAATAACTCTAAAAAAGGATATTCACTACACGTTTTCTGATTTTCACTCGAAAAAGTATAATCATAAAAACCCTCAAGTTTTGTAACAAAGACCAACCCAAAGAACAGGTTTCAACTAGCTCTAATACACTGCACTTTGTTTCATTTTCAAAATATTCAATAAGTGTAACATTATAATCATAGGAGACACATTTACAAGAATAACAAAAATGATGGTCAGAGAGTAAGTGTGGAAGTAATACACTTTTTCTCTCATCAATGTCTGTAGAGTTTATTAATAAAAACACAATTGAAAAGAAAAATGAAACAAATAAAGTCTAGAAACAGTCCAAACTACACGCTAGCAATTCATTGGGTACCTATTGTTTTTAATTTCGATACCTGTAATATTTTTATGTCAGTATGAAAGAATTAATAATGCTTTTAGAACAATGGAACAAATGAACAGTGTAAGTGATGGATCGTTTTTCCAAAAAGTAATTGACTAAAACATGTCCATTGTTCAAACATACTTCTAAATCTATATGTATAGAATCTCTTTCAACAGTTTGATATGGATTTTGTTTTTCCTTCTAACAATTTATTTTCCCATCATTCCCTAGTTTTGATTTAATGGTTAAAATCGCAGTTTTAAACAAAGATCCGTGACCGCACAATATCCATCGTAATTGACCGCAATTCTCTGCAATGTCAAACATCATGACCCAATCTAAAGCACTAGCAATTCAATTATCAAAACAAATTATGCTCACCGTAAATTTCATCATTGACTCTAGATGAAAGCAGAAACACTGGAGCATGCCCATCATTTTAACAATGCTTTAGTGAACTGGGGTTTTCAAAACACCAAAAGTGACTCTCTCTTCATGCATAAAGACACAAATCACATCACATTCCTCCTAATCTATGTAGATGACATAATCGTGACAGGCAATAACACCATGTTTTTAGAATCTTTCATCAAACAACTAGATATTGTCTTCTCACTAAAAGACCTTGACCATCTACACTACTTTCTAGGCATTGAAGTTCAAAGAGATGCAAATGGAATGTATCTAAGACAGTTAAAATACATAGGTGATCTACTCAAGAAATTCAAAATGGAGAAAGCATCAACTTGTCCAACACCTATGATAACAGGAAGACAATTCGCAAATGGAGGAGAACCAATGGCAGAACCAACCATGTATAAACAGGCCATAGGTGCACTACTATACTTAACAAACACAAGGCCTGACATTGCTTTTGCAGTCAACCAACTAAGCCAATACATTAGCACTCCTAGCATAGATCATTGGCAAGGAGTAAAAAGGGTACTAAGATATCTCCAAGGAACAATCAACTTCTGCTTGCACATCAAACCATCCACTGATTTAGATATAGCAGGTTTCTCAGATGTCGACTAGGCCACAAGTGTTGATGACAGGAAATCCATGGCTGGGCAATGTGTATTTCTAGGAGAATCACTGATCTCTTGGTATTCAAGAAAACAAAAAGGTTTGTCTCGATCCAGTACAAAATCTGAATATCGAGCTCTAGCTGACCTTGCAGCTGAGGTAGCTTAGGTTAGGTCCCTTCTAAATGAGCTAAAATTATCATTACCTAAAAAGTCAATCCTATGATGTGATAACTTGAGTGCTAAGACACTAGCTTCTAATCCAATTATGCATGTCAGATCAAAACACATTGAAATTGACGTTCATTACATACGTGATCAAGTTTTACAAAATGAAATCAATGTGGCATATGTACCCCAGCTGATTAGATAGCAGATTGTTTAACCAAGTCAGTCACTCACACAAGGTTCAACATTCAACATGTTAAGAGACAAACTTGAGGTGACTCTTGCACCACAAGTTTGAAGGGGGGAGTTAGAGTAAGGATAAAGTCTCAATCGCTTCATTCATGCACTATCATTACTCTCTATGATTTTATTATTACTATTATAATAACTTTTTAATAGTCTTTCATAGAATTATTCTATTTTAAATTAATGTAATTATTGTCTACACAACTGTAGGATCAAATTGATCCACTCTTATGTATATTTAAAGGCAGTATGTAAATGAATAATACAATACGATTCATGATTTTTTTTAACTGTGTTCATTTTATTTTTTAAAAATACTTTATAATAATGAAAAATAAATTTTAACTCATGTCGTTTTACATTACAATAGTGAGACTATTTGAATCTTACACAAATAGTTTTAATAAACTTTTTTTTTCAATAATGAAATAATGTGACACCCTAAATTAATATTATTCATTATATGAATATACTAGTTTTAATAAGCTTTGTTCAATAATGTGATTAAGTCACATCATGAAATCCGCAATTTGTAAAGCATTATCCGTCTCAAATAAAATCTAGAAATTGACCTTGACAAGCCTTCTATTTAAAACACTGATTCCAAAAACTCCAAGAATTATATTGAATTACAATACATTCTTCCAATACTATGTCACACCACTTTTGATATTCATCAATGTTGGTAATTGTTGCAATCATAATTTCAACTACTGCTCTTGTAGCTTTGCAAGAGTTTTATTTACCAGATAATTCGACTGTTATAGCAGATATAAGAGGGCCATACACAGAACTAGTTGGGAGATTCTGTGTCCCTTTACCAGCACAATACAAACGGATCTCGAGAGTATTACTAGTAACAACAACATTATTGAATTGTTTTATGATTTTCTTGCCTACTCCTCCGGCTTCTTTTGCAATATTGAAGTCCTTTTGCACCAACTCTCCCTGCAACATTTCAATCAAAAACATTCTTAGTGCTTCAATACTGATTACAATTTACAAACATTTTTAATTGTTAAATCATGTATGTACCTGGATGTAGATATCAAATACACGCCTTCCGAGACTACCATAAGTTTGATCATCTGGGATCATTATTTCAGCAAAATGTAGATTTACTGTGTAACTACCATTTTGCAGACAATATCCATAATAAGTCAAAGAAATAGGAGCAACACGAGCACGTGTGTATAATTCGGCATCTTCCATTGTAAGTTTAGAGATATTGCGCGGAGCATAAGTGTCTTCAACTTCTTCACTTCCAAGGAATGCACCAGTGGTGCTAAATGCCCAATTTCCTGTTGGATATGCATGGAATCTCGCTGGTCCACCTGAACCTGAATCATCTTCGTAACTTTTTCCATTGACTATTACTTGATTTCCACCACAATTTATGTAAAGAGAGTTTGAGGCTGGATTAAGCAGTACATGTCAGCAAATCATGTTTAAAACAACTGTACAGTCATCTATTTGTTTTCACAATTCAGAAACTCACTCTTGGGACAAGTAAAGCTCAAACACGAATTTAATCCTCTGATAGAATGATGGAAGGAAAAAAAATGAATTAGCATGACTAGTTAATAAAACGGAAATGTAAAGAATAACATATATATATATAACCGAACTTACATGTTATTGCGTGCCCATGAGGGAGAAAATAAATTCCTGTCACATATTAGTGAAAATGGTGTCATAGAAAGGTTATCAAGTAATTTCCAGACAAATGAACACAAATTCAAATATTCTTACACATTTTCATTTTGGCATATTTGACTCCTTTGGATGATGCTGAAGTTATTGTATGAAAGATCTCTATATCATAAAATTTGATTCAGAATATGACAATAATGCAAGAATCATAGACTTAAATGGAATGTTTGGTCTAATTAAAATAATCTAAAAACATTAATATATGTACAATATAGTTTTAAATTGCAGTTTACAACCGCAAATGTTGTTGCAGTTTTACTGATGCAACCTCTACAACTGCATCCTCCGTCTGCAAGTGCTATTAGATAGATGACTCACATGTCTAAGTTTGTTTTATTTGGTAATGCAGGCACTTGTCCGCTGAGAAGGTTTCCGGTTAAAAATCTGTCATAAAAGATAAAAAGGGAGTGTCATCCTTTTGACACAAAAATTTGCTACAAAAGTTGTAAATAATAAAGGGACTGTCATGCATACATGTAATTCGCGGCGATCATGTGAGCGTAGGACTTTGGAATTGTTCCACTTAATTTGTTAAAGCTGAGATCCCTGAAAGAAATATCACATTAAAAAGCAGAAAATTTGTCATAGAACATTCAGGTTAATCAAATTACAGTAAGCTAACAAAATGTAGTTTGTATGTAATTACAAGAGTTGTAATTTTGTCATAGTCCCAAGATATTCAGGTAGTGTTCCGTTGATGTTGCAATTCCTCAGAACCCTGAAAAAAAATACGATATCCAGCAATATATTAATATATGATACCTTCTTTATTATTAAAAAAAAACTATATTAAGTGATTTTCTTCCTGCTTTTCTATTTGTAAAAGAGAAATAGAAATAAACTTACAATCTTTTTAACAATGTGTGATTATTCAGCTGTGGAAAAGGGGCATATTCAGATCCATTCAAATCACTAATTCTCCTGAATATCACATTTTAATCAAAGTTAAGTACACAACTAAAATGAAAGTTAAATTTCAACTCTTTCTTTACCAATATATAAAATATAAAATATACATACAAGTCAGTTAAGTTTTTCAAAAGTGAAATTCCAGAAGGAATCGGCGCACTTAATCCACTTCCTTGAATCATTCTGTTAATAGTAAAGTAACCATTAATCATTCTTTAAAAAAATCAAGCAATACAAAAACGATTAAATTTGAGCAAAAAGAAAAGAAAGTGCATACAGGTTATTAATACTTGTCCAGTTCTGAATATAATCTGGTATCCTTCCGGTGAATTGATTGTCATCGATTCGGCTACATTTAGAAATGATATGAAAATTTGAAGCATCATAAAAAATAATTAGTATAGATTAAACATCCCTGTAAAAATTTGAAGCTTACAAATCTAGCAATGTAGTGAGCTTGCCGAATGTAACTGGTAGTTCTCCGGTGAAGTTGTTAGAGAAAAGTCGCCTATAAATATTTGTAATCCAAAACAATCAAATTATGATTCTAAACAATGGAAATCAAAATAACTTTAAATCATCGCGATTTCAAATTTCGGTTAGAACATCAACCAAGAGGGAAAACATAAAATTCTTACATTATTTGAATTTGAGTTAGATAACCAAGCTCAGGAGGTAGATTTCCAGACAATTGATTGTTGTGTAACTCCCTATTCATTTCAAGTAAAAGTTGAGTTCGAATTAAACTCTATGAATCGAAAACATACATGATTATGAACTTATAAATGGTTATTTTTCCATGAAATAGTGGGAAATAAGAAACTTACAATACTTGAAGGTTAGATATGTTTGCGATCTCCACCGGTATTGAACCAGTTAATCGATTGCTGAGAAGAGCCCTATATGATGGTTAATAAACATGTATTCATTAGCTTATTATTGCATGTAGTTACAGCAAGAATATGAATGCATAGTCCTATAAAAATAAAAAGTAAGACCATATATTATGATCTTATAATAATATATCAAACAATCAATGGTTAAAATTGGAAAATAAAAGTAAGAAACAAATCATACAATTTACTAATATTCGTCAAGGAGCCCCATTCTTTAGGAATTGTACCATTCAAGTTATTACGTGCGAGGTCGCTGATATAAAAGAGGGAAATAATAATAGTTTGTTAAGAAAAATATAATACAAGTTCAATAATTTTGTTGTTTTTGATGTAAGGAAAATTTTAGAATTACATACATCATTTGAAGGTAACGCAACCTGCTCAATTCTGCTGGTAGAGTGCCTTGGAGATTTTGCCCTTTCAAACTTCTGAGTATTCAGTTTTCCAGAGAAAAAAAATTAAATAACAACAACAATTTAATCTTAATTTGACTAACAACAACAATAACAAGGACAACCACAACTCATTCAAATTTTGACAGTAGTATTTGTTCTGATATTAATGGATCGGTTCCAAAGAAAAGAGACTTACATCCAAATAACATGACAAAAGTTATCATCGGCAACAGAGCAATCACAGGTGACATTGTTATCATAGATATGAGGTATGGGAGGTGTAACCCAATTAGGTTTGTTGCTGCATGGATCAATATCGAAGTTCCAATCCTTCTTTCCAAGTGATTTAGCTATGTCTTCAAGAGCTTTCTCTAAATATAAAATTCAGAAGCTATCAGAATCCTTAGATAAAAATATTGTAAAATAAAGATTAACAAATTTCTCAGTAATTGGTAGCTATGGTATAATAGTTTCTAATAAATATCATACTTTCCTCAGGGTGAATAGTTTTAGCTCCAAAAGCTGTAAGAGATATGAACCAAATGGCAATGACTGAAAGAAAGAAAAATTGAGAGAAAATTCTCATCTTAATATTAACAAGGAAAAGAGAAGTTCAGAAAATTCAATAATTTAGAGGTAAGAGTCTCAATATATATTGTGTATATTTCATTAGTTTCATAATTAAAATTGAAATTGTGTACAATAAAGTTGTCGAAACTATTTACTTTTTTAAAGATTTTTGGATAAATAATAGGAAACTTATAAAAAGAAATTATCTTTTATTACTTAACTTATGATATATTATATTTATAAAAAGAAATTATCTTTTATTACTTAACTTATGATATATTATATTTATAAAGTTGTCAAAAACATAACTTTTGAAGATTTTTTTACAAATATTAAAAAATTCATATGAAAACCAACCCTTTATATTTTAAAAAAGTGTTTTGATTTGACCACCATAAAAAATAATAGTTTATATATATATATATATATATATATATATATATATATATATATATATATATATATATATATATATATATATATATATATATATATATATATATATATATATATATATATATATATATATATATATATATATATATATATATATATATATATATATATATATATATATATATATATATATATATATATATATATATATATATATATATATATATACCTCATTTCTTATAATAGATACGTTACTTTTAAGTTTATTCACTAGATTAGTTGTTTATTTCTTTAATGAACTTAAAAAATAGAGTTACATCTTATATCACTATTAAAATTTTTTTGACAATTTCTTACCCTTTACACGTGTATTTTTTTAAACAAAATTTTTTATTAGATTTTAAAATAAATGGTGGAGATTATATGTCAGTTTTTTTTCTCTCCTACATCATTTAGTTTAATAGTAAAAAGAGAGAGAGAAAAAAAAACCACAAATAATAATTCGGCGATCAAATTTCGGTGAATATATATATATATATATATATATATATATATATATATATATATATATATATATATATATATATATATATATATATATATATATATATATATATATATATATATATATATATATATATATATATATATATATATATATATATATATATATATATTAACACATATTTTTTATAAGAGACAAATTACTTTTTAAGTTTATTTAATACATTAATTGTTTATTTGTTTAATGAACCTAAAAAAAAGATAGTTACATCTTATATCACTATTAAAAACTTTCAGACAAATTTTTGACAAAAAATGAATTTTGGATATCTTTCACTCAACGAAATTTTTTTAATTTTTTTATAGACATACAGAACAATGATATAGATAAAGGAGAGATGATGAAAGCCCGTCATTGCATTAATTTAGTCAAAGAAACAGATCAAGACAAGTTAAAGAGGAGCAAAAATGATGAAGAATGACCTAAGAATACTCATGTAGCTACTAGAATAATCATGTGCAGCACCTCGAGCGATAAGATTGTATTAGCTGCGTTGCGCGCGATGCAGGTGATCACACGCGATGACCCCTTTTTCTAGGCTTTTATGACACGTTCTGATCCATTATAAGCTGCAAAAGTTTTACAGTATTAGATGTGATTTAGAGAGCATTTGAAAGCCATTGGAGGCCATTCCTTCAAGGGATCTCATATGTAATTCATTCTAATTAGTTTTGGTATTGTAATCTGAATTATGAGTAGTTAAACTCCTTTAGGTTAGGTAGTTGGAACATACGTTTATTTGACTTTGAATGAATACTTTGATATATGATTCTATTCAATTGCTTCTTGATCGTAATGCTTTTTATGGAAAATATTCTTTTAATCTGATTTTGAACACATATGGAATACTGTATTAGTCAATGTGTTAGACCTATGACAATTGTTGTACTTACACTGGTTGAATAGGAATAGAAACTTCCGAGTAGTGGCCAGTTAATTAACATTTTATCGCATCTCCTAATTCTTGCTTACGCTAGTGTACTAGGGATAGGAAAATCTGATTAGTAATCAGTGAGCTATATCCGACGAGATTGTTATAGCGGAAATAAGAAATTCTATACACAACATGTCTGCTTTATGCATGTAATGCTCTATTTTTCTACACAGTGCACAACTTTATCTTGTTAAAAGCAGTCCCTGTGGATTTGATTTTATTTATTACTGCAACATTATTGGTATACTTCGCGTTATTATTTAGTAGTTGCACGCTTTTGTTCTCTTTTTCATCTGATTTTTCACTAATGTGAGTGTATCTTTTTGTTTAGTTGTGTTTTGAATGATGTCAAAACAAGGAGAAACTTTAGTGTTTTTGTATATTTGACGCTATCAAACGAATTCTAGATGTGCATTGATCATCTTAACATTAGGGTGCATATAAATATGTTTAAAAATGATTGGAAATGTATTAGGAGAGATCCATGCATCAAAAATGGGGTTTTTCGTGTGAAAAATATTGAATAGGACGACAAATACGTGTTTAAGTCGACATATAGAAGCTTTTGCTTCAGTATAGGTCGACACACAACTTGTTCAGGTCGACCATCATGTCTCAATAATGAAGGTTGTAGTCATTGTCCATAGGTTGCCTCAAATCGGTTGACCTAAGACCTTTGTAGGTCGACGCAACTGCTTTCGTATGTTGACCTATAGACGTCAAATCATGAAATTTTATTTTTCCTTTCAATTCCATTTGCATCTTTTTCTAGTAAGTTTCTAGTGTAAAACCTAAACGAAATCATAATTTAAAAGCACACTCATCATCTTCAACATCTCTTCTATGCATACACACAATCAAACTACACATAATCAGTTTTTTATTGGGTGCCCACCTAGGTTAGGATTGATAACGACCAATTAGGTTTGTGTACCGAGAATATTGGGTTAAGTTCTTTGAGAGTTTCAAATAAGAAAACAGAGTTGGGGTTTTTATTCATGATCATTGAGGATTTGAAGTTTTTGGACAAGAATACACAATTCATATATGATCAAGTGAAATCCTTAGGACAAGGTGGTTCCTTGCAAGGGAGTAGCGTGAGACGATGGATCATGTTGATAAATCTTAGGTTCAATAAGTGTGCACTTGGGATTAGTTCTACGGTGTGAAAGCCTTGGAACAAGGTGGTTCCTTGCAACTAAGTAGCAATAATTGGTGAATTTAAGCGGCATTGCTGGTGACTTGATCAATCTTTGATCAGGGGTTTTGGAGGTGGTAGAATCAACAACAAACCTTAGGGATTGTAGGGTTAGAGTTCTTCATCTCTTGTATATACACTTTTTGCAAACTAAGGTTAATTGCAAGTTTCTTAGTAAGATTTCGAATTCAGGGTAAACGTACCCATTACGAGGCCGATTGAGAAACTGCTTTAAAAAATCTTTGTCTCTCTCTCTCTCTCTCTCTCTCTCTCTCTATCTTTCTATCTCTCTCTTTTTTAATTTTTTTTATGCAATTTATTGAATTCATTGGTAGGTTGATCAAATTGATTGGGAATTATTTTTGATCACATATTTGACATTAATTTTGTTGATAGAGTCATAATCTGTTTGATTGTGATTTGTTTTAAGATCAACAAAACAAAGTGAATTTCCAAACGATCTCGATTGCACACAAAGTGTTTGATAAATTTCATTGTTGTATTTTTGTTTGTTTTTTATCATTGAAAATAAGTTATACACATGGCTTAGCATTTGATTGTATTGAGATTAATCGTTATTGAACAGTTTGTGTTCGTTATCATCAAGTTGTCTACATTTAGATATATTAGAGCTTTTTGATAGTAGTCGCGGTTAGACAATTTGATTCAGGTTCCTTCCATTGTGCCATAGAACTTTTAAATTTATGATCTATTCACCCCCTATAGATCGAAGCCTATCGTCTAACAACTAAGTCCAATTTCTTCACGCTTAGCTATTTTTTTCCTCACCATTCGGTATTTCTTCTTCATATTTGATCCTATTTAACTTGTTTTAATCCATTTCTTGACTAAATTCATGCAATGATGAATTTTAATCACAACCCCAAACTTGACTTGTTGCTTGTTCTCAAGTAACTCACCTGCAACTGCACATTTTTAACAAAAAAATGAATTACAATAATAACTAATCTAACCTGATCAGAAGGGAGTCAGTGACCTGCCACGCGTCGTCAATCTGAAAGCTATCCACCGGAAGTAGGGAGGAGGAGGGGGTGTACCTACAATACACTCTGATGCCAAAGTAAGTAACAGACTAGAGTGAGAGCAAATACAGAGAAGAGGTTAAGAAGTGAATACCTGACCCTCTAGTGAAAGAGGGTATTTATAGTGAGACCCTAGCGCAAGGCCAACGGTCACTTGTGTTAGTCTGGATTCCCAGGCCCAACCCAAGTGACTGTTAGGGCTTATGTGGCGTAGTGAAGACCAACACGTGGTCTTCTCCCTAGTTTAATCGTCCCGTGATCTCCGGAAGGTGGGTTGACCAGCTCTTTTGGAGGTGGATAGTTGGCTAATGACTAGTCCCTGCGGAGGGGGCACGTGGAGAACGTGTGAAAGGTGTGTTGTTCTTCCCGACGAAGGGAGCGTCAGCCCGATGTAGGTGACTGTGCCTGACATTGAGTGGCTTGGGCCTATTTGGGCCTTCCCCAAATATCATTGGGCTGGGCCTGCCCGACGGATGGGCAGGCTTGGGCCCAGTCCAGAACAGGAGCCTCCCAAGTTGTAGCTCCAAAGTAAATTAGAGAGGACGAGAGAGCGCGAGGACCTTGGTCTCATCGGGCTGTAATGTCGAGGAGGGGAAGGTGGAAGCATCCTCGTCTGTCCGTGCTCGCGGGGAGAATGAATGGTCACGGCCGACTTTAGTGGACACGTGTCTAACGCTCAATGGGTCCTGTAGGGCGGCTACCCTAGGGTGCTCGAGTGCCTAGGAGCGCTTCGAGTCCCGTGCTGGGTGTATAAATAGGCGAGTTCCTTCCCATTTACCATTTATTTTCTTCTCTTACTCTCGCACGTGATGTTTGGATTTCCGCACTCACATTTGTTCACCAGCGCCTCCGTAGCATCTGTCGCGTGCTCTGCCTTTAC